GGGGGGGGGGGGGGGAGATTTTGCAGGCATAGGACTTGGCTCAGATTTGCAAAGTTTTTCCCCAGACCTGAAAAATGCGATAAGAATTTACCACTTTTTTTTTTTTAGAAAAGTGTTAAATGTATTCTAGTTTTTAAATAGGTTTATCTATGTAGGTGGTTTTTTTGGTATTGTAGATTAAGGGTCCCACCTAAATATAAAAGTTGTACTAGCAGTACCACTTTAACTAATCTGTAAAGTGGTATAGCTGCCCCTTATGCAGATGCAGGTGCATCTGTATAAAAATGCTTATGTTGTCATACCAGTACAAGCACTGACAGGAATAAACTATAACTATTTCAGTTGAATAAAATTATACCCCTAATTGAAATAATCATACCAGTATAGCTTCTAAGCATAGGCTGCATCATTTAAGATAAAGTGTGGGACTTTCCTGACAGGGCATCAGTGGAGGTCCAAACATACAATGGAGTTGCTGTCCTTAGAATGAGAAAAGGAAATAGGTTTTTTTCCCCCTACCCTCTTTTAATTTGCTATTTGTGGTTTTGCTATGACGTCTTAAGACAGAGTCAAAGAAATAAAAATTGTGCCTGTTTTGGTGAGAGACCAGAGAACTACAGTGGCCTAAACCTGAATTTTCCCACTTGAATGATTGACAAAAATGGGGATGCTGTCTTTCACGAAGATTTTTCCCAGGTTGCTTGTTGAATCAAATGTGTGCTTTTTTTCATTTTGTTTAAAATATTTTTACAAAATCAAAGAACACTTTCATGCAGCCCAATGCAACAGTGCACAGGTGAACAGTTAAGGAAGTTTTAAAATTCTTGTGCTTTACAGCTGTTGCACTTTAATGTCTGTCTGTCCACTCTTAAATGGAAGCTGAACCATTCATAACATTAATCTCTGTTTTATTCGGCCATAATGTTGCTGTGGTCTGATTCCACTATACCTGTGAAAGAGTGGACAGACAAAACAGTTTCAGAAATTCGACTGATGCAAGCTCTCAAGCAGTGAGTTCCTCTCCTTTCTTAAACCAGTTGAATGTTATAGCTGTTCACAACTTAAACCAGTGGTTCTTAA